AAGCCCTATGAATGGAGAATCCACCTGTGTTACCTCTCTGAGAAAGTAACATCCCAGGCAGTAACAGATGTCCCAAAGGACTGATATGGATATTAAGTTTCCCGGGAGCCAGAGAAGAAAGAGTGGATTATGCAAGAAAAGCTTCCCTGAGGGGTGGAATCTGAACTGGACTGGATAAATGAGAAGCCATAATAAGGACAAGAAATAGCACAAGCAAAAGCGCAGAGATGAGAAAACACAAGGTACATTTGGGACAAATGAATCAAACATCTCTTAAGCAAAAGGCTTGAGAAATAAGAGGGGCCTGAAGGAGCCTTAAAGGATCTGACCTAGGGAGACAATGTGAGATGATGATTAAAAGACCGGACTTGTTGCTTCAATTTTCAGACCCTGTTTCCCCATCTGTAAAATAAGAAATCTTTCTCTACCCTGAATATCTCTTATGGACAAAGCAGTGGGCTCGACACTGGAGGTACAACAACGTTCTCTTACTTTCAAGGAACCTAATAATCTGTACCTATCCTCAAGAAGTTGCTCTAAGGAATAGATGAGATAAATACAAGTGTCTGTGTAATGTGTCTAGAACACAGTGTTCAAGTCTCGATATCCTTGAGATATACAAACATGCCAAGTCAAATTCTAAACAGGAGACAGTTTGCTGTAAAATAGTTGCTAACAGGACATAAGGCAAAGTCGTCAAGTATTTCTAAACAGAGACGTGACATTCAACAATGAATGTTTCCTGAATTATCTGTCTAAACTCATGTTTTAGGATTATGGGGCTAGAAGTGATTTATAACAGGGACTGCAGCCAGGGAGATTAAACACTGTTAAAATATAAAGTGCGACCACAAAGTAAAAATAATTGTCTTGGCTCATGGAAGCAGAAGGGTGAGAGCAAAAGGGGTGCGTTACGACACCCCTAAGTGCAGCAGCAAGTCAGTCCCCTATGACACTGTCACGAGGAAAATACACCTAAGTTCATTCCTCGTTGACATATAAGTAAGCACCCTGTTTTTAGAGTAAAGAATGTCAGATTTTGAGGAAGTGTAATACACCTACAAACAAGGCACTCTCCTTATTTAAAGAAAAAAAACCAAAATACCTATTGAATACCAAGGCACTTTGATCAGCACAAAAACTTTAAAGGAGGAAAGAAAGATATCCAACAGTGCTTCACACAGCCATTTCCCTATCCACTGGAATGATGTAAATGCTGAGGAAAGATCTAGTTTAATGAAAGCTTCAGAGGAGTCTGATAAAACAAACAGCAGAAACTATGCTGATCCTTTAAAGAAAACTGGTTAAAATCTGCCTGTTTGTTTTTCTTTTATTCTTTTTACAAAAACATACAATGCTTCACTGATTTGCATAAAATTCCCCTTTGGGGACCCTGCTAATCCTCTCTATCATTCTAGTTTGGGTAAATAAGCCAAAGGAAGCAGAAAGTTTTGCATTTTTAAAGAAAATTTTCCAGAATGGTTTGAAAATAAAATGCCAAAAATGCCAAACTCCAAGATCCTTGAGATCTAAAAATGTGCAACTCAAAATTCTAAGAGAAAAGAATGTGTAGTTCATCACCATCAAAAATGAAGAACACAAGAGTCATTCCACAAATTTGTTATGCAGAAATTCTGAAACACTGGAGAGATTCTGTACAAAGGAAAAAGAGCAACAGGTGAAGTAGACCATTTCTCTCATGGAATTAAACCTTGGTTTGAAACACCTGGGTCTTCCAAGGACCCTCACCATCTAAGCACCCAGCAGAAGAAAACATGAAGTCTTTGGAAGATGGCACCTTTACCCTCACTCTCAAATTATTCCAAAAATATTTGAAGTTACGATGAGCAGTACACAGTCAAAAATAACAAGGCACACAGGAAAATTAAAATTAAACTTTATGAGTAATAACCGGCAGAAGCAACAGACGACAGACTTCAGAGATTGAAATTTAAAACAGAATATACAACAACTGGGTTTACTCTGCTTAAAGAAGCAAAAGGAAGTTTAAAAATTGCAGAGAAAGCTACTGAAAAATTACATAGTAGATTTTAGAAATAAATAAGTGGAATTTCTGGAAATTAAAAATGTAGTAACAAAAAATTTGAAAATCAAGGAAGGTTTAACAGCAAATCAGACTCAACTGAAAGAATTGGTGAGCTGGCAGGTGGCCCAGAGACAAAGACAGAAGACATGCAAGGGCTGATAACAGACATAAAGATATAATAAGAAAGTTTAACATGCATGTAAGCAGAGTAGGAGAAGAGACAGGAGAGAGCCCAGAGAAAATGCAGTATCTGAAGAGGTAACAAAACTGATGAAAAAATATTAAGCCAAAGAGTCCAATGAAACCCACGCCAGATAATTTAATTCATACTTAGACACATTGTAGTTGACTGCAGAAAATCAAGATGAATATAAACTTAAAAAATAGGAGTAACAGGGAAGGCTGGGTGGCTGTCCCACATTGGACTCCCTGCATGGAGCCTGCTTCTCCCTCTGCCTGTGTCTGTGCCTCTCTCTCTGTGTGTCTCTCATAATAAATAAAATCTTTAAAAGAAAAAGAAAAAAAAAAGGAGTAACAGGGGTGCCCAGATGGCTCAGTGGGTTAAGCATCTGACTCTTGATTTCGGTTCAGGTCATGATCTCAGAGTCCTGAGATCAAGCCCCATGTTGGGCTCTGCACTCCCAGGGAGTCAGCTTGAGATTCTCTCTCCCCCTGCCCCTCCCCCTTCTCTGGAAAAAAAAAAAAACCAGCAGGAGGAAATGATGACAGGTCGTGAGACAGAACTCAACAGAATTACTTTAAAGGGGCTCTGATCATTTGAATTCATGAACTCCAGTATTTATGTACTTCTCTATTCTAAAAAGAATTCAAAGCAGTTTACCAAGATCCATATAATAAAGTCCAATATAATACATTTAAAATGAGACAAGTAAAACAAAGAGGAATAGAAGACTTAATAAGCTGGATGCAGTACTAAGACTCATTCCCAAAACATAGGCTGTAAATTCAGATTTGCTTTCTAGACGAGAAACACTGACCATTTGAGCACCTATACAAAGAAACAGTCCATTAACAGATATTCAGTAAAAATCAACTCGTTCAAGGAAAACAACTATTCTTTTTTTTTTTTAAGATTTATTTATTTACTTGATAAAGAGTCATAGTGTGCACGTGCAAGCAAGCACAGGAGGAGGGGGCAGAAGGAGAGGACAGGGAAAGAAGCAGATTCCCAGCTGAGTGTGGAGCCTGATGGGAGACTCGACCTCACAACCCTGAGATCATGACCTGAGGGGAAACCAAGAGCTAGAGACTTAACCAACTAAGCCACCTGGGCACCCCTCAGGGAAAACAACTATTCCTAAAAGACACAGTAATGAGGGACGCCTAGGTGGCTCAGTGGTTGAGTATCTGCCTTTGGCTCAGGTTGTGATCCCGTGGTCCTGGGATCCAGTTCCACATCAGGCTCCCTGCAGGGAGCCTGCTTCTCCCTCTCCCTGTGTCTCTGCCTCTCTCATGAATATATAAATAAATAAAATCTTAAGAAAAAGATATAGTAATGAGTAATGATAGTAAACATGCACAACATTCTCTTATAAAAGAGTGGCACATTTAGCAGGACCAAAATATAAATCAAAAGAAACTTTATAGGGAAGACCAAGAAACACCAGTGTGACCTATTCCCAGGATGTGACCCAATTCAAGGGGAAGATCTCAGGGGAATGGATGGCCTGCATATGCTTCAGAAAACCTTTAATACCTAAGTACTTGTCTCTCAGCTGAGCTTCTGCAAGTAGTGGCTTTAAGGGTCGTTTCTTCACGAGTACCTAGGTGCAGCCATTCTGTGGACAGATGCAGAACTATCCACTGAGCCAACAGGAAGATTATAGGCTATTGTGAAACTGAGGAGTCAGACATCATTCCACCTCAACTCACAGGAGTGAGGTCCAGGGTGTTCCTTAACCAGTCTTGTGACCTCAGAAGCAGATAATACTAGCTCTACATCCTAGAAGTGGCAAGTGATTGAAGAGAAATAAGATGTAACTTATTTAAACCGTAGCAAAAGAAAAATCAAAGGGATCAAATGTTATTATTGATTAGGCCGGCAGAAAGGAGTCAAAGGTGCCTACAAAGTCTTGAATGAGGGAAACCAGAAATACTAACAGAAAAACTGGGCAGACAAGTTTTGAAGGAAACAGAACAATTCGGTTTTAGAGAAAATGTTTGAGCTTGAATATCTGAGTGGAAAGAACTAGAAGACATTTTTCTATTTAGAAATCTGAACACAGAGATAATAATAAAAGTCACTGAGTAGTTCTAATTCCCAAACTACCAATATCCTTTTTCCTCCAATCACTGGATCAATGCAAACACAAGAACTGAACCCCATAAGATATACCATCTGAAAGAAGTACACAGCCATGATACAAAAAGCAGGTTATGTTTCAAAGTGACCCACTGTACAGGAAGAGTGTCTAATACAGCTACGCAGAGTCTCAGAAATATAAATGCACAGATCTGTATTCCATCACCAGATCTTAGAACAGAATTAGACTGTATGGCTTACATAGAATGATACAATTTCTTTACAAAGTAAATACTATCTATCCTATGTTTTATATTTAAGAACACATAGGTACATTCTGTTCACAGGATCAGATTTTCCTAAGAATTATTAAAGTGGGGACATGGAGAGTTATCAGATATGTCTGAAATTAAAAAAAAAAAAAACTCCCTAACACTTATCAGCAGCAAAGACATATCTCTGTGTCTTTGAACAGCTACAGTCAACCTCTGCATGATAGAAGAGGCTAGAGGGACATGGTTTCTTCCTCCACAACAACAAAAAGACAGGATTAAGGAGACTTAAAGGGTTCCCTAACTTCTAGAAAAAAGAAGAGTATAAGAGATGTAGTCTTCAGAGACACAGTCGGATAGGAGGTAAAGACAAACCTAAAAATGAAATAATAAAGAAGTTTAAAAAAAAAAAACTTACTCTTTTCAATGAGCTGATCCTGAACTCCTGCCAATGCACTTACTGCCTAAAAGAAAAAAAGAAGAAGAAATCTGTTACTAGAAAAATTATCACAGACCTCCAGAGAGCCCCCGGACAGCAGGGAGAAAGGGAACTAGCAGAAATTTAACTGAGGGGTTTCTCCCCAATGGGCCACAGAAAGATTCCCCCCACTTCACTTACAGCTGCTGAAGTAACTGAGGATTTACTGAAGAGTCGCTCAGCTTCCTTAAACTTCCGGTTCCTTCGGTCGTTTTTGCTATTGGAGTTTCTAAAACACACACAAGAAACTCATAAGCACCAAGCTGTATCTATGGCTCGAGTTGAGGATGGCCCAGGGCACAGTAAGGAACTCTCTCTCTCACTGTCTTTTTTTTTTTTTTTAAAGTTACGAGCTTTCAGACAGAAATGCCTTCACACCGTCTGGAGTGACTGACAGGACCCTAACGCTGAATGCCCACCCAGACAGCAACGGTTTCCAGCGTGTAGGAGGGTGCTCCACTGTGGGACATTACTTCAGTTGGGTCACTGTCGTTAACATTTTCATATGTATTTGATACTTATTATTAAAAACGGCTAGCATAGACTAGTGACATGAAATGGTTTTGTCAGATAAGCTTAATGTAAAAAATGTAATGAGGGACGCCTGGGTGGCTCAGGGGTTGAGCATCTGCCTTTGGCTCGGTGTGATCCCAGGGTCCTGGGATCGAGTTCCCATCGGGCTCCCTGCAGGGAGCCTGCTTCTCCCTCTGCCTGTGTCTCTGCCTCTCTGTGTCTCTCGTGAATGGGAAAAAAAAAAAAAAAAAAAAAACTTAAAAAAATTTAAAGAACAAGCCAGGGTTCCTTAAGGAAATGGCTGGTCTCAGTTCTGGGATAAGAAAAGGGCAAGGTGAGGCTAAGAGACCCTGCTAGGACAGAAAGCAGCAAAATGCCTGAAGACTAACAGGGTCTAACAGGGTCACATCAGCAGGACAAAGGAGGCTTCCTCTGGCCACATTTGGGACAAATCAAGCACTGGAAAGGATTATGATGGGTGTGTTTGCTTCGTGAAAAGTCATCAAACTGTATGTTTATGACGTATGTGCTTCTCTGTATGTATTTCAGTAAGTTTATAACAAAAAATAAACCTCCACAATAAAAAAGTAACGGTACTAGATTCCCACACACTAATTTTTTTTTTTTTTTTTTTTTTAATGCACTGGTCTCAGGGCACCTGGGTGGCTCAGTCGGTTACATGTCTGCTTTCAGCTCAGGTTGTGATCCCAGGGGCCTGGGGGGCTCTCTGCTCAGTGGGAAGCCTGCTTCTCCCTCTCCCTCTGCCTGCCACTGCCCCTGTTGTGCGCACTCCCTCTCCCTCTCTCTCTGTGAAATAAATAAAAATCTTAAAAAAAAAAAAATCGGGATCCCTGGGTGGCGCAGCGGTTTGGCGCCTGCCTTTGGCCCAGGGCGCGATCCTGGAGACCCGGGATCGAATCCCACGTCGGGCTCCCAGTGCATGGAGCCTGCTTCTCCCTCTGCCTGTGTCTCTGCCTCTCTCTCTCTCTCTCACTGTGTGCCTATCATAAATAAAAAAAAAAAAAAAATCCATTGGTCTCTAGTGATACTAAAGAGAGAAGGCCAGAGATACAGAATGAAAGGGCGAGAAGATATGAAGGGAAGATTCTTCTTTCTGACTACCAGTGATCCATGTAGTACCAGGAAGAGTAAAATCAGAATCCACAGTATATCAAATGAGTCGGGTAAAAATCAACAGTGGATACTAAAACCACTGAATAAAAATTTGGAAAAGCGGTATATTCACACTGCCTAAAAGTACAGCCCCCAAACTACCTATAAATTACAGAGAACAAATAAATTTTTACAATGGAGAAATCATATGCTCCATCTTTGTACCAATAATGGGACAATCTGACACTATGTGCCTCCCAATAAAATAGAGGTAAACAACACACCAGGCATACAAATCACTTACGCAATATTTTCGCCAAAAATCCTTAAAGGATCTCTCATCACAAAAGGAAAAATCTGGAATTGGAACATTCTGCAAGACAGTGTCACCAACAACTTTACTGCCAAAAAGGGTGGGGGACTCTCTTAAATGAAGAGACAAGAGAGACATAATAGCCGAATATTGATACATGAACACTGAAGGGATCAAAACAAGGTAGCAAAGCATAGGTTTGCAAAGCAAAGTAGGGGACAATTAGGGGAATTTGAATAAAGACTATAGTAGATGATACTATTAATGTAATGCAATTTTCTATATGCAGTAATTGTGGTTAGGTAAGAAAATATTCTTCTTCTTCAAAAGAAAAAAAAACAAAAAGGGCAGCCTGGGTGGCTCAGCAGTTTGGCGCCTGCCTTGGGTCCAGGGCGTGATCCTGGAGACCCGGGATCGGGTCCCATGTCAGGCTCCCTGCATGGAGCCTGCTTCTCCCTCTGCCTATGTCTGCCTCTCTCTATGTATCTCTCATGAATAAATAAATAAAATCTTTAAAAAAAAAAAAAGAAAAGAAAAGAAAATATTCTTAGGAGGTAAATGCTGACATAATTAGATAGCAAAGTGTCATGCTATCTGCTTAAATGGTTAACAAAAAAAAAAGTATGGAGGAAAGCGATGATAACTATAAGGGGTAGCAGGCGGGAGATCTTTGTGGTGATGAAATACTTCTGTATCTTGATTGCAGTGGTGCATGCAGGTGGTGCACGCAGGAGTCTACACGGCAGTGACAATTACACACACACATACACATTGTACCAATGACAGTTTCCTGGATTTGATATTCTACTACAGTTACATAAAGTCCAACCATTGGGGAAAGACTAGGTGAAGGGTACGGGACCTCTGTAATATTGCTGCAACTTCCCATGTATCTGTAATGACATCAAAATTTTTTGACTTTTTTTTTTTTTTTTTTTTTAGAGAGAGAGAGGAGGGGGAGGGGTGGAGAGAGAGAAAGAAAAAGAATCTTAAGCAGGCTCTATGCTCAGCATGGAGCCTGACATGGTGCTTGATCCCATGACCCTGAGATCATGACCTGAACTGAAATCAAGAGCCGGATGCTTAACTGACTGAGCCACACAGGTGCCTCTAAAAATTTTAAGTATAGATATAGGTATGTGGGGATCCCTGGGTGGCTCAGTGGTTGAGCACCTGCCTTTGGCCCAGGGCATGACCCCAGGGTCCCGGGATCGAGTCCCATGTCAGGCTCCCTGCAAGGAGCCTGCTTCTCCCTCTGCCTGTGTCTCTGCCTCTCTCTGTGTATCTCATGAATAAATAAATAAAATCTTAAAAAAAAAGTATAGATATGTGTATGTTTATATACATTAGAGAGAAAGCAAATGTGGCAACATGTTAACAACTGGTGAAAGCAGGTCAGGGGCATCAAGTGTGCACAGTACTATTTCAATGTCAAACCTGAAGATGTTTAAAACGTTTAGACAGTTCTCAATAGTTATCACTAAATTGTAATATGGTCAGCACACAGGGGCGGCAAATACTGTAAAGGTGAAACTCATGACTGATTAAAAAAAAAAAAAAGGGAAACACTAATAAAGTGATACGTCAGGTACTGTCATTCGCTGCGTTTGGTTTATGCCTCACACCACCCTGTACCACCGGCCCGACTTCCCCTGTTTCCCAGATGTAGGATTTGTCCACAATTACTCAGTGAGGCAGAGGCTGAGCCAGAGTCCACGTTGGACCCCAGACGGCTTTTCACACCACCACTTTACCGCCGGCTCCCTCCAAAGCTGCTACCAAGAACGTAGATAATCGGAAAAATAAATAACGACTGGGGGCACAATACCAACACCAACAGGACTGTGACACTCACTTTTGGTTGGTCAGGTACCGATCCCAGCCGCGGATGATATTGCCGTACATCTGAGTGTCTTCCAGGTAGCTTCCTTCAAAAGCATAGATCTGTCTCTCCAAGTTCGCCAGTGTTTCCTGGGAGATGGGGGAAAAAACAAGGACATGGATGGATAATATCTTTTAAATGCAAACGTTAATTCCGACCAGACCAGACACTTAGTATTAGCCCGAGACCTTCGAGGTCCCCTATAGTAGAGACCATCCAGGGAGGAGAAAGGAGACCAGCTGTGGGGAGAGGAAGGCTGCTTTAGGTTAACACTGTGCAAACCTTAGACCTGTCTTGCTGGAGCCCTTTGGGAATAGAAGGGAATGCAGAGAGCCTGTGTCTTGCCCCCCCCCCCCAAAAATGTGCAAAATTTTGCATATGCTTCAGGGGGCTCATGGCAGGGCAGCTGTCAAGAGTCCCCCCCCCCCCCCCGCCAAAAAATGTGCAAAATTTTGCATATGCTTCAGAGGTCTCGTGGCAGGGCAACTGTCAAGAGTCCCCCCCGCCCAAAAAAAATGTGCAAGATTTGGCATATGCTTCAGAGGGCTCGTGGCAGGGCCACTGTCAAGAGTTTTCCCCCCACCCCGGGGTGGCTCAGCGGTTTGGCGCCTGCCATTGGCCCAGGGTGCGATCCTGGGGTCCCGGGATCGAGTCCCGCGATGGACTCCCTGCATGGAGCCTGCTTCTCCCTCTCTCCTCTCTCTCTCTCTCTCATAAATAAATTTAAAAAATAAAAAAATCTTAAAAGAGTCCCTCCCCGCCCCCCAAAAAACGTGCAAGATTTTGCATATGCTTCGGAGGGCTCGTGGCAGGCCAGCTGTCAGCAGGACTTGAGCGGCCTCCATGCCCACGCACAAAGGCGCCGCCGGGGCGCGAAAGGGGTAGGCAACCCCCCAGTCTCGGGCCCGGCTGTCAGTTGCCATGGAAACCTGCAAGGGCAGCCGCAGGTGAGCCGGGCCTCGGCGGTGCACGCGCCGCGTCGCGGGGAGGGGGCGTCGCGGGGAGGGGGCGTCCGCCGAGGTGCCGGGGCACAGCCTGAGTTGCCTGAGTTGCCGGGCGGGGTCCGCGGGCCTCACCTGTCGCCCCCCCGGAGCATCGGAGGCACATGCCCCCCGAGCCCCGGGACCTAGGGCCTTACCTGCCCCCTCCCCGGAGCATCGCAGGCCCCCCCCAGCCCCGGGACCTCGGCCTCACCTGCCCCCCAGCATCGCAGGCCCCCCCAGCCCCGGGACCTCGGCCTCACCTGCCCCCCCAGCATCGCAGGCCCCCCCGAGCCCCGGGACCTCGGCCTCACCTGCCCCCCCAGCATCGCAGGCCCCCCCAGCCCCGGGACCTCGGCCTCACCTGCCCCCCCAGCATCGCAGGCCCCCCCCAGCCCCGGGACCTCGGCCTCACCTGCCCCCCCAGCATCGCAGGCCCCCCCAGCCCCGGGACCTCGGCCTCACCTGCCCCCCCAGCATCGCAGGCCCCCCCCGAGCCCCGGGACCTCGGCCTCACCTGCCCCCCCAGCATCGCAGGCCCCCCCGAGCCCCGGGACCTCGGCCTCACCTGCCCCCCCAGCATCGCAGGCCCCCCCGAGCCCCGGGACCTCGGCCTCACCTGCCCCCCCAGCATCGCAGGCCCCCCCGAGCCCCGGGACCTCGGCCTCACCTGCCCCCCCAGCATCGCAGGCCCCCCCGAGCCCCGGGACCTCGGCCTCACCTGCCCCCCCAGCATCGCAGGCCCCCCGAGCCCCGGGACCTCGGCCTCACCTGCCCCCCCAGCATCGCAGGCCCCCCCGAGCCCCGGGACCTCGGCCTCACCTGCCCCCCCAGCATCGCAGGCCCCCCGAGCCCGGGACCTCGGCCTCACCTGCCCCCCGCACGCAGCCCCCCCAGCCCGGGACCTCGGCCTCACCTGCCCCCCCAGCATCGCAGGCCCCCCAGCCCGGGACCTCGGCCTCACCTGCCCCCCCAGCATCGCAGGCCCCCCCGAGCCCCGGGACCTCGGCCTCACCTGCCCCCCCAGCATCGCAGGCCCCCCCGAGCCCCGGGACCTCGGCCTCACCTGCCCCCCCAGCATCGCAGGCCCCCCCGAGCCCCGGGACCTCGGCCTCACCTGCCCCCCCAGCATCGCAGGCCCCCCCGAGCCCCGGGACCTCGGCCTCACCTGCCCCCCCAGCATCGCAGGCCCCCCCGAGCCCCGGGACCTCGGCCTCACCTGCCCCCCCAGCATCGCAGGCCCCCCCCGAGCCCCGGGACCTCGGCCTCACCTGCCCCCCCAGCATCGCAGGCCCCCCCGAGCCCCGGGACCTCGGCCTCACCTGCCCCCCCAGCATCGCAGGCCCCCCCGAGCCCCGGGACCTCGGCCTCACCTGCCCCCCCAGCATCGCAGGCCCCCCAGCCCCGGGACCTCGGCCTCACCTGCCCCCCAGCATCGCAGGCCCCCCGAGCCCCGGGACCTCGGCCTCACCTGCCCCCCCAGCATCGCAGGCCCCCCCGAGCCCCGGGACCTCGGCCTCACCTGCCCCCCCAGCATCGCAGGCCCCCCCGAGCCCCGGGACCTCGGCCTCACCTGCCCCCCCAGCATCGCAGGCCCCCCCGAGCCCCGGGACCTCGGCCTCACCTGCCCCCCCAGCATCGCAGGCCCCCCCCGAGCCCCCCTCCCAGCGCACCGCCCCCGAGCCCCGGGTCCGCGGGAGGCCCAGCGCACAGCCGCCCCCGCCCCGCCCCCGTCCCCGCCGCCAGCCGGGCCGCTCGGGCCGCTCGGGCCGCTCGGGCCGCGGAAGGCGCAGCCGCCCCCAGGCCTCCGGGCTCCGGGCTCCGCGCTCCCGGCCGCGGCGCCGGGGGAGTAACGGCCGCGGCGCGATCGGGCCGGGGCCTGGGGCCGGGGGCGGGCGCGGGGCCCCGGAGGGCCGCCCCGCCGTCGGCGCCTCACCGCCAGCTCCTGCTTCCGCTTCACCAGCTCCGCCAGCTCCCGCCGGGTGTCCGGGATCTGCGGCGGCGCCGCCTTGTTGTGCATCGCCATGTTGGGCTGAGGCGGCGGCGGCGGCGGCGGCGGCGAGCTGGGGGCGGGCCCTGCGCGCCCTCGCCGCCAGGGGGCGCCCGCGCCGCACTGCGCCTGCGCGCAGGGTCTCGGGGCGCGCGCCGGCCCCGCCCCCCGCCGGGCCCCGCCCTCTCCCGCCGGGCCCCCGCCCAGATCTCCGCCCCCTCCCGCCCCGCAGAGCCGGGTCGCGAGGTGCGGGCGGGTGTCGCCCCGGGTGTAGACCTCGCCGTGGCCCCTCGGAGGGCAGCGCGCGCAGGGCCGAGGTCATGACCCGCCGGGGCCGACTCCCCCGCGGTCCAGGCCGGGCCCTCGAAGTGCAGGTAGTGATAGGGCTTACCCGCGCCTTTGGCACCTTCCAGGGTCCTGCAATGTCACCATCACGACCCGGATTTTTTTTTTTTTTTCATCCTCCCACCCCCCACCCCCGCCTTGCTTGGAAGTCTGGGCTTCTACAGCCTTTGGGTCGGTGATCTTCCCCTGCTTCGGAGACATTCTCATCTTTAGGTATTCCTGGGCCTCACTTTCCTCTCCTGGAACTCAAATCAAACGTAGTAATCCTTTATTATTGTTTTTCACCCACTGGTTTTTGTTGTTGTTTTTTTTTGGTCTCTCTGCTGCATTCTGGATAACTTTTCTCCTGTGTTGATCTTGTAACCTGAAATCTTGCTGAACTCCCTTATAATTCTGGGTTTTATTGCAGATTCCTTGATTTTTTTTTTTACGTGATTTCATTTGCAAATAAAGGTGGTTTTTTTTTTTTTTTCCTTTCCAATCTGTATGCTTATTTCTTTTTTTTGCCTTACTGTGCTGGCCAGGATTTCCAGTTCTACATTAAGAGAGGTCACGGTCTTTCACCATTAAGTACGTTAGCTATACTGTTTTTCTAGATGCTCTTTATTGAGAAAGTTCCCCCTCTACTTATTGAGAGTTTTTATCATGAATGGGTATTGAACTTTGTCAGATACTTTTTTCTACGCCATTGACACGATCATTTTTTCTCTAGTGTCTTGGGATAGTGGATTATCTAGATTTATTTCCATTATGAACCAGTTTTGCATATCTGGGCTGAACCTCACTTGGCCATGTGTATAATTCTTTATATATATATTTTTAAGATTTATTTATTCAGAGAGAGAGAGTGGCAGAGACACAGGCAGAGGGAGAAGCAGGCTCCATGCACCGGGAGCCCGACGTGGGATTCGATCCCGGGTCTCCAGGATCACGCTCTGGGCCAAAGGCTGGCGCCAAACCGCTGCGCCACCCAGGGATCCCAGTACAGGGTCATCTTAAACCAAGTTCAAGGCTTGAATTTTCCTGAGCTCCTAGGCTGCAGATCCCTGGGAGGATTTGATTTCTGGTCACCCCTTTTATTCTGAAAAGGACAGCCCTTTTGGCATGCCAGCTTTTTGTGGGAAACATCTTCTAACAGTCTATTCATTGTAAGTGGGCTCTGGGTTTTGATTCTGTCCCATTCAACGTCGGGCCAGGTCTGATTTGCTAGAATCAAATGTGGCTTCCAGGCATCTGTGCTCCATTTCTCCCTGAATTCTTGTTTATCTTTGCTTTAGGCCTGATAACATTTTTACTAATTTGTCAGTTCTTGGAGGCTTTCATAAGTTTTTTTGCTTATATTTTATCCAGAAATTTTGGCTTCTTGCAGCAGGAGGATTCACATACACACACAAAATAACTTAGTCCATCATTAACAGAAACCAGAAGTCTCATGACTGTTTCCCCTATTGAACTTCAAGTGCTTCCAAAACCTCATTAGTTTCTCACCTCAGGCATTTCGAAGTGCTAGCCTCTCTGCCTAGAAATACTCTTTTTTTTTTTTTTTCCCCAACCCCACTGACCTCTTCTGGATAACTGTTCATTCTCCCCTGACCCACGAAGCTTTGTTAAATCCTATTTCTCTCTGCTTCCATAGTCCTCAGTGCCTCTCCTATCTAGCACTGTCTGTAGCTGCTAGTTAAACGGCTCTGCAAGGGCCAGACCTTATACATCTCATAACTACATAAGAGGCAGTAGATCACAGTGGCTAAGAGCGTGGCATGTGGACCCAGGGCAAGTTTGAATCCCTTAATCTCTTTGTGCCCCGGTTTTTGCATCTGCAAAATAGACTAATAATACAAGCCTCATAAATGCTCATGTGAAACTGTGAGAACTGTGCCTGTACCTAGAAAGTGCTCCTAAGTATTAGCCAGCTTTATTGTCAAAGTCTCGCTCATGCTACTGGTTAGGCACATCAATATTGAATGTTTATACATTTTTATGAATCAACATGATCTCCAAGCAGTTCTGATTTGGTGAGGTGAATGGCCCTGAAAGGCCCATCCACTGTGATCAATCAAGCAGCTATCTTTTCCAGCTATCTTTCCCCTCAAATCTGTCCACTAAGCACTGCTGGGGAGCTGGGAGGGAACAGTCTAGAGCAAAGACCACTGAACCAGGACTGAGGTGGTTTCTCATCCTAGCTTCTACCCCTGCCTTGATGTGGGACTTCAGGTAAACAGCTTCATTTTACAGAACTCTTTCCACGTACCCCCAACTCCAGTCCTGCTGTCCTGCAGACTGCTCAGTCTGTAACAGCGCCCTCTTCTACTGGTCCAGAATCAACCTGTTCTCCAAAGCACGTCGCAAATACCAACTCTTGCACAAGTACATCCCACTCCCAGATGACTGCTCCGTTTCTAATTTACAGCTGTAACTCAACTGTTAGCACAATAAACTTACGCAATCATTTGCTGGATTGACTCATTTGAACTTTAAATGTGAACAAATCAACAGTCTTTTTCAATTGTTTCCTCCTTGATAAATGGAAACTTTACCCGAGACCAGATGAAGCTTTAAATTCCAAAGCTTTAATTTAAATCAAGTAGGCTTCCTGCTCTTATAAATGCACATACCCAGCCAACAACATTACGGGTTCGGAACGCCATCACATAAGCAGGCGTTGCTGGCTACGGTGTGCAAATCAGACTTTGGCTTTCATTAACATGCCTTCACCTTATTCCTCACGTCCACAACTAATTTCCACAAAGGGAAGGATAGTAAAAAAAAGTATAACTGTGTGCACTGTTTCAAATAATTATCAACCTACATTATATATTTCAATTCTAAGTCTTTTAAAACCAAGCTTTATTGTATACTGGCATACTCCATACACTAATACGAAAGTTAAAAAAAAACAAAAAACTCATTACCTGAATTGACTACTCTTTTACTTATCACCAGGATACAATAAAAGTATTTGAAAGCTACAGTACTAGTTGCTCTTAACAAGGTGTCCTTTGTCCATGTTCAAATGAGAGAAGTAGGTGACTAGAAAGAGGTTGGATGGGGAAACCTGGAGATTCTGTCCTAGACTTCAGAATTGTAGACCACCACAAAGGATTTGGGGCAGGGGCTCATTTGCAGATAGCTTGGTTTTACACCAATGATTTGTAGCGGGGGGGGGAGGGGGGCAGGTGGAGGAAAAAAAAAAGTTGCAAATGGCTAGGAGGAACAGGAGTTTCCAAGGGAAGAATTCAAGAAAGCTTTAGGATTATGTCAACTTTGAATGACAAGTCCACTAGTGATATCTGGCTTTGGAGATGTGCTTTGGAGATGGGTCTTATCTTTGACCCTCTTTTTTTCCCCCCCATATTTATGAGAGTGAGAGAGAATGTGCGTGCATGTACGTGCACAGAGGGGAGGGGGGGCAGCGAGAGAGGGGTGGAGGGAGAGGGGCAAGCTGACTGCACTGAGCAGGGAGCCTGAAGCAGGGCTCCATCCTAGGACCTGAGATTGTGACCTGAGCCAAAGTCAGACACTTAACCGACTGAGCCACCCAGGTGCCCTGACCCTGTTTTTTTTTTTTTTTTTTTTTTTTTTTATTCATGAGAGACACAGAGAGGCAGAGACACAGGCAGAGGGAGAAGCAAGCTCCATGCAGGGAGCCCGATGTGGGACTCGATCCCGGGTCTCCAGGATCACACCTTGGGCCGAGGAGGCGCTAAACCACTGAGTTACCCAGGCTGCTCCTAACCCAACAGGTCTTAAAAAAAACAAAACAAAACAAAAAAAAACCATGTGGGGGGGGGGCACCTTTCCAGATGTTTGGCACAAAGAATGTATTAATGCAGGAAACTATTCCTCCACTTAACCAAGTTTACTTCACAACCGGACCTCTTATTGAAGAACTTAGGCCAAGTGGTCATCTATCATGCTGCCCAGCAGGATGGTGTCTGCAGTGAAGCCCAAGTCTATCTGGAAGCAGTAGTAGGAGCACAAAATGAACAGGAGGCCTGGGAGGCCAGGTTAGTGCCTAATTCGAGCAAGAGAAAGCCATCAGTCTGGATCCATCAAAGCAAAACCTACCTTTCAGGCATGCACGTATGTAGTAGGAGGTCTAATGGCAGATAGGAGAATTAGATTAGGAAAGTAGCAGTCACAGTAGCCAGTGTGGAGTACACTGGGGGTGGGGGTGGGGGATTGGATATGCTAACTGCCCTTTCCTTGTTGGAGCCTCCCTACATCTAACTGATTTCATTAAGTATTCACTCTTCAAGGGGATCTTTACATTTCTTTTACATAAACACTACTCAGCACCTAGCCCAGAGTCCACATGGGGGACCTTAAAGGAAAACCAATGGTAAGAAAGACAATCTCACAACATCTTAAGTTACCAAGAGGAATGGGGGCAGCAGAACCAAGTTGCTGTTGGTTCCCCCCCATCAGAGAGCAACCCTGCAGGGACCAGGGATCAAGTGGTGCAAGACCTGCTATTAGAACCAGCCCCAAAGGACTATTCTGGAAAGGAAAACCTCTTCACTGCCAATTGTGAAAACGCTTCTGCTTCAACAGGACCAGCACTCACCGACGTGTGAGGGTCTGGCTTCTAGAGCTGCCACTGGCCCTACTTCACCATTTCCTGGTTTCGCCCCAGCACACCCTCTGCAATGACCTATTTTTACCTCAAAAATACTGATACAAAGATTCCTGTAGCTGCAAATGAACCTATAAACACATGATCCTCTCTGCCAGGAAAAGGATAACCCTTTGAAATGGGGCTATATTTACAAATTTTATTATTTTTTATCCCAAAAATACATATAAATGAAAACCTGCTCTTCAAATGCAGGGAGGCCTTCGCCTATGATGTAGTATTACATTTACATCACAAAACATTCTTGTATGAAAATCAGTATATGCAGTTCTTTCACTCACACTTTTATGTATATGTATACACACACACACACACACACACACACACACACACAGTATATGTAAGTAGTTACGACTTTGCTACTTACACATATTCCTCTGATGGGAAATTAGGAAATAGGGCAACTCCCTTGCTTTCCGGCCTTGGGAAGGTAAATACAACCTCTCTGAACATTTTTTAAAAAGATGAAATGTGTAAACTACACAACCTCCTTTACACATATACAATGCTGTTAGAATAAAACAAGGACCCTGCTACATAAATGCCACTGTTTTGAAAAGAGGAAAGAGATAATGTTTGAATAAAAATCAAAGTTGAACAGATAAGATGATCAAAATTGTTATGCACATGCTCTATGGAAAAATCAGAATTGTCTCACAAGGAAACAGATCCATGACCCATTTCGGCCTCTTGCGATGTTAAATCACCACCCACTGGCAGTAGCCAGGATCTTCCTTCCTGTACAGTCGTTTGCTTAAGCAGTTTCCATAAAGCATTTGTTTAAGTCCAATAGTCAATAATGAGGTCATGTGGTAAATTCCCACCCCCCAAAAAATGAAGTGCAAAATCAACTTCTGTGACTCAAGAGCTCAACCAGGTCAAAGCTTTGGTATATACTGGAGGCTGTTTTGGTGACAACCAAAGCTTAGTATAGGATTCTCTGTTCAGGGGTTTGCCCCACAAACAAAAACAAACCCAGTCCACAGAGCTTAACAACTATATAAATAAAGTACCTGTACAAAGAGAACAAGCCACAATGCCCCTTGAACCAAGGGTTTGTAGTTTCCTAGGCGGCAGTTCTGAAAGCACCAACTAAAGCCACAATGCTTCTACTGAAACACAATGTGTTGGTGACACTGTTCTGAAAACAAATGCCCACAGGCAAGGGGCTGATGTGCCACAGAAAAAAGTTCAACCAAACAGAAGTCAGTTTTCTTATACTATAACATAAGATGGTCAGCAACAGAGGAAAGACTTAAGGCAATAAGAGGCAATACAGAGAGCACCATGGTGCTCTGAGTCAATCCCAAAACCTTTAAAGAAAGAAAGGGTCTCAAGAGTTTGGGCTGTTTCTTAGTTTGCTAGCTGTCAGATACTTCCTCCTCCTCCTCGTCATCCTCATCTTCTTTCCTGTCTACTTCAGAGGTGTCAGAGGACTCATGAAGCAGGACATACTCTCTGCTGCTGAACCCAAATTTAAGTACATCTTTTTCCTTTAGTTCATAGTATCTCTGTGGCTCAATACGCTTGTTGTTCAAGAACGTTCCATTGCCTGAGCCAAGGTCAATGATGTAGGGCCTCACCCTTCGGCCAACTGTCCCATCAGCACGGGTATATTCCACAAGCCTAGCAGAGATAAAAGAGAGAAACTTGTGAGCAAAATCCCATCTCAGACCATCCAACATTTCGCTAACACAACCAAGATGATGTAAATTACCTGGCTTGATACAGTTCAAGTCCAAACTCTAGGAAACCAAGGGGCAAGTATGGCCCTGGATTTGGAAATTGGGAGCAAGTAAGTAAATATACTTAGTAGAAAAACTTGGAACTGCTTGCTAGGGGGTAGGGGAAAGTCATGGAAGACCAAAAGTTTAAAATCAGAATCCAAGATCTCTTGCCACGATTAAGAAAATACATATTTGTGTTGTTTACAATCAAGATAATGCTTCTTTCACCTGTATTTCAACATATTTTAGCTCCGGTCCCAATGAGAATAAAGCAGTGGATTTTGACTTCAGAGTCAAGGGAGCTAATTTTGAACCAGATCATTTACTAGGCTCTGCTGAGCTTCAGTCTTCTCACTTGTCGAATGGGGATATTAACAAGTGACCTGTCCTCCTCATAGGAGTGTTGTGAGGATCAAACAGTAACAGATGTCCTACACACACTGTCAAATACAGATTAATAAGCACACATGCCAGACACTCTCAGATACACTTCCATTTAACCCTAAAAACAGCCCTATGAAATAGGGAGAAACTGAGGCCCAGAAAATGGCTTGCCCAGGTCAATCACCTGGAAGGTGGCAGTGGCAATGGCAGGATTCAAAATCTGGATTTCTGACACCAAATGCGATGCTTTCAGAGAAATGGAAGTGATTATTCAAAGGGCAGTTAGATTGGTAATCTTAAGACCAAGATTAGATCTGAATATGGGATTCTTCTGCAAATACATGTACACAAATGTCAGTAATCCTGAAACTCTCAGCTCTGCCCACGCTTCTGATTTTTCCCGCAAACAGACTCACCGATACTGAAAGACTGCGTGCTGCTTGGAGCAGGAGGGATGATCGATTGGGATGTCCGCTATGCGGCGGTGCCGGCCCAGGAGGTAGGCACTCTGCCGGTGGATGTACATGACAGGAAGAACCTCATCATTTTTAAAAGGGTAGAGGCGCCATCGTTTTTTGGGGATACGTGCCTCTGGGGGCTCACTATATTTAATGACGACACCCCGGAAGGTGTTAGTGTCCTCAAGAAGTGCCCCAGAAAGTTCAAAGCTTGGCTTTTCTTTAGCGGGTGCCTCTTTGTCCTTACTGTTGCCACCAGGCCGAGGAACCAACTCCTGAGACTCCTTACCACCGGCATTAACTTCATTCTTCTGGCGATTCTCTCGTCGTCGGGCATCGTAAAACTCCCGCTCTGCATCCTGAGCCTGTAGATTCTGAATGTCTCGGTCCCGTCCCTGAGCCTGCCCACTCCCAGGCCTCTCGTTAGAGCTTCTCCTCTGGTGGGAATGGCCCCTGTGTCTGTCGCGGTCACTGTTTCTAGCCCGCCTGTGCTCCTGGCCCGATGGTTCCCGGTGCTGCCGTTCTTCACGTCCTCTCCGGGGATGATCCTCGCGTTCCTGAAATCCAAACAGATCCAGTATATATAAGGCAGTCCACACTCTGAACAACTACGTTCAAAAACCCATTTGAGACTTGGACTTTGGCATTTAGAGCAAAATGTCCCACAGAAATAAGGTTAGCAGTGGTAGTTATATTCCCTTGCAAGGCTACATAGGCTATTTCCATGCTGTCACCCGACTACAGCTCTAATGCTGCAAGCCCAGGTTCAGAGCCCTAGAAACAAGAGGAGCTGGGGCACACTTATAGGGAAGCATATACAGAAAATGTAACTAACAGAGTTAAGTAGCCATGTACAAGATAAACATGTAAAGAAAAAAAGCTAGTTTTCTCTTACATCAAAATGAAAATGTAATGATATTAAAAGATCTCATTGCAACAATTAACAGAAATTGTTCAATAACTAGTATTACACTTAAGAAATATCCAAGACATGTAAGAAGAAACCTATAAAAATTTGCTGATAGATCTGAAAAAATTAATAAACATACTATGGTTTCTTGAAAAAGACTCAGTATTGAAAATCAGCCTGGTAGAAAGTGCAACATAATAACATCTATTAATATAATAGTAAGAAAATAAACCCATAAGAAAGACAATTCAACAGGAAAAAAAATTGGCAAGGATAGTAACAATTTTCCTAAGAAATAAGTATCTAAAGAACACACGAACATAATAAGCTTATCCTTACTAATAACCAAAGCATCAGAGTTCAAGAGGGAGCCCTACACACCATGAGCAAGGCTACCCCCACCTGGAAAGGGTAAAGAGGAAATCCTGAGCACGGAGATCTCACTGCCTCCCCTGCTCCCAAGGTCTTATCCCTGCTACACACAGGTGTCAAGTGCAGGCCTGCTTGCTCACAGCAGAACTCATTTTTTCTAGACTTCCTAGCCTCCAAAGACAAGCATCAGATGCTCATTCCTCTGACCTTAAGATACTCCCAAGTTTGCCACCACCACTGACCAGGACTAATCTCATGATTCCCTTTATCCCTGATTAAATGAGTCACTACAAGAAGCCACAGACTCTGGGTCATCACCCTCAACTCCCTTGTATTCTAATCCCCATAAGGCTCTGTACATGCACTATTCCAACAACCAACTGATTCTCAGTCTTCATTTTAAAGATGTAGCACCTGGCTGGTTCAGTAGGTTAAGCGTCCCACTCTATTTCTGTTCCGGTAATGATCTCAGGGTTGTGAGACTGAGCCCCCTCCGTGGGTCTGCAGGAGATTCTCTTTCTCTGCCCGCCTCCGCCCTGCTTCGCACACTTGCGTGTGCTCTCTCTCACAAAACAGTAAGTAAAAATAAATTTAAAAAGATGTGTAGACCAGGCAAAATTAGTGAAAACTATGGAAAAGAATATGACAAACTGGGGTGCCTGGATGGCTCCGTGGCTGAGCATCTGTGTTCAGTTCAAGTCATGGTCCCGGGTCGAACCCCAATTGGGCTCCCTACAGGGAGCCTGCTTCTCCCTCTGGCTATGTCTCGGCCTCGCTGTCTCTCATGAATAAGTAAATTAAATATTTTTTTAAAAGACAGATATATAACCGGATAACTCAAAATAACTAAGATTTCAATTATCAGTAAGATAACATATATAATATGGTCCTTTTTTTAATTAAAAATTTTGCATGGAAAACAGAGATGCGTAACTAAAACATAAAGGAAAAAAAGCGAACATAAGCATAAGAGAGCTTTGAAGTATAAATATCAAACTACTGAAATGGTTGCTGATGGGGAGTCAGGTAATTTAGGGGGAGGGGGCTGTGATTTTGGGGTATAACAGAAGTAACCATGCACTACATACACCATACTCTCACTTTTCACTTTATGTACTTCTTTGTTATTACAATGAGCATGCAATCAATAAACTTATTTTTTAAATGGTGGCACAGGTGTGGGGAGAGAATGTCTGCAAGCACAAGTCATGCTCCGGTCAGAGGATGTGTGCATTCCTCCTTAGGATTAGCCCATGTGAAAGTCACTTAGTGTCAACTGTCTGTCAAGCCCTTTTGCTTGAAAGCCATTTCCAAGTTTTCAGCTGATTAACACACAGAAATTAGCTTTTAAAGAGATAATTTGAGGTCAGGAGGAAAGTAGCATAGATACACAAATGAAGAGACATCAAGGCTATAATAAATAGACAAGTTGTCTTCTAAAAGTCCTAGAATTTATTATAAAATTTTCATTTAGAAACCACAGATATAGAGCTGCCAGTTGTACACCAAAAACAAAACAAAACAGAACAAAAAACCAAAAACTAAAGCCACCACTAGTAGTGGACAGGCCCCATCTGGGTGGTGTGGTTCTGGGGGCTGCATTCTGAGATAGCTGAAGCAGCACCTGATCAACTCACACTGCACACCACCAAGGCTGTCTGGCTTTCTATCTTTGAGATATTATAAAGCTGGCCCACAGTCTCTCAAAGTAAGAGGAAAATCTGTTTTCTTAATGTCTCTTTGCACACTGTAACATAGAGTTTCTTTTAAAAGACTGAACCCTTGTCTCTCAAGATTGAGGGCAAAAAAAAAAAAAAAAAAAAAGGATTGAGGGCAAAGCAAGGGTTGTCTGCTCTCACTACTCTCATTCAACACAGTGCGGGAAGTCCTAGCCAGTACAATAGGGCAAGACAAGGAAATAAAATGCAGACTGTAAAGGAAGAAGCAAAACTATCCCTATGTGAAGATATGACTGTCTATGTAAAATATCTCAAGAAATCTATAAAAAAACTCGCCTGGAATAAATAAGTTGAGTTCAGTGAGGTCATAGGATATAAGAAAAACATAGAAATATCAATTATTTCTACAGATTAGCAATGAACATGTGGATTAAAATTTAAAGTATCACCTATAGGGCACCTGGGTGGCTCAGTGTCGGTTAAGCATCTGCCTTCAGCTCAGGTCATGGTCCTGGGGTCCTGGTTTCGAGTCCCATGTCCCACATCAGGCTTCCTGCTCAGGAGGGAGTCTGCTTGTCCAGCTCCCTCTGCCCCTCCCCTCTGCTCATACACACTCTCTAATAAACAAAATCTTAAAAAAATAAGATATCAGTTATAATCAGTTCCCCCCCAAAAAAAACTTTGTGTAAATATAACAAAATATAGAGAGAACTTAAATCCTAAAAACTACAAACACTGAAGAAAGAAATCCAAAATCTAAATAAATGACTTGAACAGTGTTCATGGAGTGGAAGATTCGATATAATAAGCCAATTTCCCCCAAAACATAACTTCCTGCAATTTCTATCCAAATCCTAGCAAGATATTTTTTGCAGATTGAGACAAGATTGTTCTAAAATTTATACGGAAAGACAAAGGAACTAATATAGCTAAACAATTTTTAAGAAGAAGAAAACAAGGGATCCCTGGGTGGCGCAGCGGTTTGGCGCCTGCTTTTGGCCCAGGGCGCGATCCTGGAGACCCGGGATCGAATCGCACGTCGGGCTCCCGGTGCATGGAGCCTGCTTCTCCCTCTGCCTGTGTCTCTGCCTCTCTCTCTCTCTCTCTGTGACTATCGTAAATAAATAAATAAATAACCTTTAAAAAAAAAGAAGAAGAAAACAAGAATCCATCTACCCAATTTCAAGACTTACTATGCAGCAACAGTAATCAAGACTGTGCTACTGGCGGAATGACAGAGATCAATGGAACAAAATAGAGAGGCAGCAATAAACCCACACACATATTTCTGACTGATTTTTGGTGAAGAAGCAAAAGCAATTCAAGGAAGGAAAGACAGCTTTTTCAAAAAATGGTGCCACAGCAAGTGAACATTCATAGGCAAAAAAATGAACCTCAACCCAAGGCTCACACTTTATACAAAAACAAACTAAATATAAGTCACGGACTTAAATGTAAAACTTTGAGGAAAAAAACCTATCTTTGGGAATCTAGGGCTAGGCAGAAAGTTCTTAGACATGACACTGAAAGCACAATCCATAAAAGGAAAAGCTGATAAGCTGGATTTCATGACAAGTTAACATTTTTACTCTGATAAAAGTGCTGCTGAGTGAAGGAAAAGACAAGCTACAGACCAGAGAGAAATATTTGCAAACCACATATCCAAAAAGGCCTAGTATCTAGAATATACATAGAACTCTATAAACACAACAGTTAAGAAAACAAAAAAAGCCAAGTACAAAATAGGCAAAAGACTATGAAGAAACATTTCACCTGAGAAGACAGAGAGAGGGCAGGCAAGTAAGATGAAAAGATGCTCAGGAGGAAAACACAAATTAAAATCACAATGAGAGACGTGCCTGGCTGCCTCAGCTGGTAGAGCATGGGACTCTAGATCTCAGGGTCCTGACTTCAAGCCCCATGTTGGACATGGAGGCTGCTTAAAACTAAAAATAAATACGTAAATAAAATCACAATGAGATATCACTACACATCTATTGGAATAGCTAAAACAAAAAATAATGTCAACACCAAATGCCAGTGAGGATGCAGAGAAAGTGGTTCACCCACAACACAGGTAGGGATGGAAAATGGTACAGCCACTGTCATGGACTGAATCATGCCCCTTCCCCCATTCATATGTCGAGGTTCCAACTCCCATCCTCAGAATGTAACCATTTGGTGGGGTGCGTTTGGTTTTTAAAGTAGGTGCCATGCCCAGTGTGGGGCTTGAACTCACGACCCTGATTAAGGATTAAGAGCCAAGTGCTCTACCAACGGAGACAGCCAGGCATCCATTTTTGGTTTCTTTTTTTTGAGATAAGGTCTTTAAAGACATGATTAAGTTGACAGCAAAGCCCTAATCCAATATGACTGGTGTCCTTACCTGAAGAGGAAGAGACACCAGGGATACAAGCCCACAGAGGAGAGGCCATGTGAGGACCCAGCCAAGAAGGTAGCCATTCGAAAACCAAGGAAAGAGGCGTCAGGAGAAACAAAACCTCCTGACACCTTGACCTTGGACTTTAGCCTCCAGAATTGTGAGAAAATTAATTTTTGTTGTTTAAGGTATCCAGTCTGTGGTATTTGGTTATGGAAGCCCTAGAAAACCAACACAGCCCTCCTGGAACACAGTTTGGCATGCAATCACCATGCCATCTAACAATGGCACACCTGGGCACTTGTCCCAGAAAACTGAAGACACGTTCACACAAAAACCTGTATACAAATGTTACACAGCAACCTTATATACACAATAACCAAAAACTGGTAACAACTCACTTGTCCTTTAATGGGTAAAGGGTTAAAACCACACCACTGAGTATCACTCAGCAATAAAAAAGGAATCAAATACTGACAGAGACAAGCTGAATGAATCTCCAAAGAAATGTGCTGAGTGAAAAAAGCCAATCCCTAAAGGTTAGACGGATGATTCCATTTACATGATTCCATTTACTTAACGTTCTTGAAGTGACAACCGTTATAGGGACAGAGAGCAGATTAGAAGTTGCCAGGACTTGAGGGGTTAAGGATGGGAGACAGGCGGGTGAGACTATCCAAGGACAACCCGATGGGTCCTTGTGGGGATGGAAATGTTTGCATCTTGACTGTCGCGATATCAATATTCTCCCGGTGATACTGCACTGGAATTCTGTAAGATGCTACCAGTGGGAAAGACAGTGAAGAACATACCTCTGTATTTTTTATTTTTTAAAACAACTGAGTGTGTAAATCAACAATTATCTCAAAATTTTTTAAAAAAAGTGTCACAAAACAAGCAGAAAAACAACAACAACCCAGTTTCTAGAAAAACCCGCTGCAGATAAAGGTAAACACCTAGGATTATGTATTTGTCAGGACGGCAAGAGGTTCTAGATTTGGACCTGGTATCAAAACATCTCGGTCCGCTTACCTGCTTCACTTTGACTGTCGAGTGGTGAGGGCTTCGGCTTCTCTTACTCCGAGGAGACTTGCTTCTTCTCCCCGAGGACTTGTTTTTCCTTTTGGCTGGGGACCTTTTCGGAGCAGGGTACACACAGGGTTTTATCTCAATTTCCCTTCCCCCATATACACTCACTGTCAAGTGTCAGGCTTACCTACTAACAACACAAACAGCACATCTGTGAAGGGCTCTGCTTTTCACACCAAAGAAGGCGGGGAGCTTCGCTCTCCAGCCCGGGGACGCCCTCCTTGAGCTTCAGACCCCCCCCCCCACCCACACACACACAGAGCTGCCTCTGGAGAGTTCTCAGAGCCTGACTCTTGCTTCCCAACCCCTCAAAGTCCTTTCCTCCCTCAGCCTCTGCCATCTCAGTAACGGGTACCACCATCCACCCTGCTTCTCAAGCCCAAAAAACCTAGAGAACCCCCCTTGACTCCTTTTTCCTCTCTCCACCAATAGCCCCCGACACCCTCCCGCAACAACCACGTCAATCCGACAGCGACAGCGAGACAGTCCTCCGGCTCTAGATCGCCTCTCTCCCGCCTCACCCCTACCGCTCTCCCCTCCGTTGATCCCTAAACGACCCCTCTCCACCCCCACCCCGCCCTCCCACTTCTAGAACAATCACATTAACCGGGCTTCAGCTTCTTTGCGCACATGGGTTTCCCCAGCCTGGACAATCCTTATCGTTCGGGTCTCAACGCAAACCGCACGTTTTCAGAGGGGCCTTCCTTCTCTCGCTTCCTTCCAAGGCTCTCTCTCACACCTCCGGTTGGAGCCGCTTCTTGATACTCGTTACATACGTAAACTGTTTTGTCGGCCTTGTTACTCTGTCTCGAGGCGGGAGGGAGCACACCCATTCCACTTCGCCGGGGCAAAGGCCGCACGAGGCCCCAGGAGCGACGGCTGTCTTTCTTCCTTTGGCAACGCGCTCACAACTTCAGTCGAAGGAATACACGGAGCAGTCCAGCAAGAGATGGTTTTTCTTCCAACTGCCTACCAGGTGGATCGCCGGGGCTGCCAAGGCGGAGGGCTTCTGGGGCAGACGTCTGGAAGGCCTAGTAGGCCGGCAGCCCATGTGCGGGCAGATGCGGAGGAGCCTTTATTTCGGGTCCATATGCGCGGTGTCCCGGCAGACGCGGGGCGCAGGGATGAGGGGGGCGGGATCCCGCGCATCAGGCAGGGGCCGCCGTAAACGCTCTCCCGCACAGCGCCACCGGCTCACCCCCCCACACCCCCTTTGGCATGAAACCCGAGCAGCCGCGCTCGGCTCCCAAAACGGGGCTCGGACGCCAGCCCCGCCCCTCCTCCAAGTCCCCATCCCGGGCGCCTCCCCACTTACCGGCTGCCTCCTCGGGCTCGGCTCCCGCGGTGCCCAGGGCGGCCCGGGTCGCCGGCCGGCGGGGACGCGCTCCCGCCCGAGGACTCGGGGCGGCGGTGGGCGGGAGGCGCGGCTTCCGGGCTCAGGCGCTCCTGCTTCACCTTCACCACCATCGCCGCCGCCACCACGTCCCCGTCGCGGTGCCTCCGCCGGGTGCCCCGCTCCCGCTCGCTCTTTACCTCCTTCATGCTGAGATACGAGCAGAGAGCGAAGCGGGGGAGGGAAACAAAACAAAACAAAACAAAAAAAAAAAAAAAGAGAGAGAGAGAGAGAAAGAGAGAGAGAGCCGTTGCGCTCCTCTCGCTAAAGGAAATGACGGGCTTGACCCCCCGCACTTCCGCTTCCGGGTGCGCGCTCTCCCAGAAACCCTTGCGGCGGCGAGCGAAGCACGTGACCACGACCCTGCAAGCGGGAGGGGCTGTCGGGAGCCGCTCGGGTGGCGGGAGTTTTAAACGTCAAAGAGACGCTTCTGGGCAGCCCGGGTGGCGCAGCGGTTTAGCGCCGCCTGCAGTCCGGGGCGTGACCCTGGAGACCCCGGATCGAGTCCCACGTCGGGCTCCCTGCGTGGAGCCTGCTTCTCCCTCTGCCTGTGTCCCTGCCTCTCTCTCTCTCTCTCTCTCTCTCATGAATAAATAAAATAAAACAAACAAACAAACAAAAAAAACCCGGGGAGCTGCAGGTGCCTCCTCCCTCTGGGAACCTGCAGATTCCCAAGCCTCCACCGAGGAGTCACAGGGCTCCCATTCTGCAGGTGACAAAGTTGGCGGCCAGCGAAGGTGACCGTGCGCCTCGTCGCAATGGCCTGCGAGCCGCAGCGCGGGGACTCCGTTCCCGTTTGGCGTGGTTTTCCAGGAGCCTCAAGGCGACCCGCGGGCCAGGAACCGCGACCCACGGAGCGCGAGGAGAATTCCTGGCGAGGCTGAGCGGGAACTCGGCGCTGCTGGCCCCGCCCCATCCGAAGCCCCGCCCAGGCCGCGAGGCGCGGCGGGGGGCGGGGGAGGGGAGCAGAGGTTTCCATGGTGACGGCAAACAAGGAGCACGCTGGAGGGGCGGCCGCCGCACTCGAACCCGCGTCGCCGCCATGATCCCCCCTGCGGACTCTCTGCTCAAGTACGACACCCCGGTGCTGGTGAGCCGGAACACGGAGAAGCGGAGCCCCAAGGTCAGGGCGGGCCTGGGGGGCGGGGGAGCCCGGAGGCTCCGCGGGGCGGGCGGCACGCGGGGGGCACCCGGAGGGCAGGTGTGGGGTGAGGAAGGAAGCCCCGGGGTGCATGGGGCTCGCTGTCCTGCACTCTGGTCCGGTCGCGCTCGCTCCATCCCCAGGCCGCTGAGCACCTGCGCCCGCAGCAGCGGTTCCAGGAGATACAGACCTTGGGCTGGGGCTGGGACCGCAGGCTCTCTCCACCTTCAGCTGAGACCTAACCTGTGCTGAGAAGAGAGACGGGGCAAGTGAGCTGCGAAGAGGGGAGCGCTCTTTAGAAGACCTGGAGCAAGCCGGGGGTGTTGGGTGTGTGCAGGTCACCGTCTGCGTCCCCTCCTGCCCAAACTTGTCCCTCCTCCTCAGGCACGGCCACTGAAGGTCAGCCCCCAGCAGCCCGGACCCTCCGGTCCAGTCCCACAGCCACCAAAGACCAAGCTCCCCTCCACTTCTGGGGTCCCCGATCCTACAAAGCAGGCAGAAGAAATCTTGAATTCCATCCTACCCCCAAGGTAAAGATGTAGGAGCGGTGGCTGGGAGAAGGCTGGGGCTTTGCATCCCCGGAACTTGGGAATGTAGGAAGAGGCACCCTGTATCCCCATTTCCTCCCAGCATCTCCGAATTCCTAGAGCTTCCAGACAGCTGGATCCTGGGAGGGGGTGGGGCGGAGACCACCTCTCTATCTCCTAGTTTTCTGCAGGCTCCAACCCAGGCTCATGGCTTTTTTTTTTTTTTTTAACATTTTACTTATTGATTGATGAAAGACAGAGAAAGAGGCAGAGGCAGAGACACAGGCAGAGGGAGAAGCAGGCTCCCTGCAGGGAGCCCCACGGGACTTGATCCTGGGTCTCCAGGGTCAGGCCCTGGGCTGCAGGTGTCAGTAAACCGCTGAGCCACCCGGGCTGCCCAGGCTCATGGCTTTAAATACCATCTATGTGCTGATGGCTCCCAAATGGGTGTTTCCAGCCCCATCCTTTCCTCTAAACTCCAGACCCATACATTTTACTGCTTCCTCATTATCTTCATGAAGCTATCTCCTGGGCATCCCAGGCACGTCCAAGCTAAGTCACGATGTCCCCCTCTCCCAACCTGCTCATCGCCAGGCTTCTCCTTTCTGCCACTGGCTCAGGCCACCCTTCATTCCTCTTGCTCTCTCATGTCACATGTCCTCTCCTTCGTCAAATTACTGTGGCTCTACCTTCAAATGTGTATCCTAGACCCGACCGCTTTCCACCCCCTCTGCTTCCACCATCTTGTTCCTCTTCACTGTCACCTCCAGTGAGGTGGCCTCCGATCTGAAAACCTTGCTTCCATCCTTCCATCCTTTGCCCCCACAGTCCAGTCTCCAAACAGCCCCGAAATCGTAAGCCAGATCATGCCAGTCTTCGGCAAGGAGCTCTCTAATGGCTTCCATGTCACTCTGACTAAAGTCCAAAGTCGTTACCCAGAAGTGACCCAGAAGACCCGGCATGATCTGGCCCCTCGGATAGCCATGATCTCGTGTCCCCTTCTTCTTGTTCGGTGCGCTGGTGCCATAGGGGCCTCTGCTCACTGTTTCTGGAACACTCCCATCATCCTTCCACCTCAGGGCCTTGACAGTTGCGGTTCTTACTGCCAAGGATGCCCTGCCCCCAATGTCCACCTCATTCCCTTCATCTCTTTATTCAGATCTTGCTCAAACGTGACTTCCTCAAGGGGGCCTTCCTCGAGAATCCTTATAAGAGAGCGAGCGCCTTCTCCCTTCTTCACCATCCCCTTACCCTGCTCTCTGGCTCTCTGGCTGGCGTGCTTGGTCGACCCTTCCTGGTGACTGGGGAATCTGGCCTTGCTTCTGACACAAGGCTTACTGGTGGTGGGGAGGGGACCACACAGATGCACGCCGTCAGGAAGCTCCCCGCTGCACATATCTGCCCCTTTCGGGCTGCCACGAGGCTTGTGGAGCCCTGTGTCTCCCACCGCTCAAGTCAGCGGGGAGTTCTCACTGGGCCTTCTGCTCCAATCAAGCAACAATGCCCATGAATCTGTCCTCAACCCATTAGGAGGGTAAGATCTAGAACCTGGGCGATGATTCCTCAGAGAGCCAGAGGAGGGTGGAGATGGCCCAGCTCCGAGGCAGAGGCCCTGTGGAGCCATACACTCCCCAGGGAAGAGAGAGGGATGGAGGATTCCGGTGCACCGGGGACAGAGCCGCCCCTAGTTCCTGCTCAGGCCGAGGGCTCAAAGGGCCCTCACGTCCTGCTCACATCCTGAGGCCCCTCCAGTTGATGGCCTTGCTCAGCCTGGCTGTGTCTGTGCCGCAGGGAGTGGGTGGAGGACACCCAGCTATGGATCCAGCAGGTGTCCAGCACCCCCAGCACCAGGATGGATGTGGTGCACCTGCAGGAGCAGCTGGACCTGAAGCTGCAGCAGCGGCAGGCCAGGGAGACCGGCATCTGCCCCGTACGCAGAGAGCTCTACTCACAGTGTTTCGGTGAGCGGTGCGGCTCGGGCTGGGGCTGGGGGGAGCGGGGTGGGGGGTACAGTGTCCTCAGCTACCTCCCGCCCTTCGCCTCGGGCCCAAACCCAGCTGAGTACCCCCGAGCTGGAGCCCACCCCATCCTGGAGTCATCTGGTCTCCCCCTCCCTGCCATTGAGCCCCCCAGGAACTGCTAAATGCATCCCCTTCCCCCCATCCCCCAGTCATCCCGACCACCTGGTTCCTAACCTCTTAGCATATGTTTGAAATGGGAACTTCCGTCCTAAATCTTTAAAAAAAAAATTGTTTTTTTTTTTTAACAATAAGCATGTTAGTTTTTTAATCAGAAAGACTAACGTTCTGTATTTATGTCCATCGGTCAACATTCAGTCCTTTGACCCAGAAAAATACTTCAGGATCATTTGCTGCTAATGGACAGTCACAAAAGATTTAAGCGATAGTGACAAATGGCTGTCCCCCAGCACGCACTCACTGGCCCGTGTGGACTCTAATGTTCAGACTGCTCCCCTCAGTCTGAGGACGATTACGGTTGGCGCTCCAGGTCAGCATTTAGGGAAGAGATGGGAGGGCAGGCTCTATTTCCTACTGTCTGCAGCCCCAAGCCCGTCCACCCCAAGGGGCACAGAGACTTGCCACCTGCTTCCAAGCAGCCGTCCTCCTCAGACTGACGAGCCAGATGTCTGTGACCAGCCCTCTGGGGTTTTTACCTGGGGGTGGGTAAGAGGCCCCCCCCCCAGCTGCCCAATTCAGAGCCATGGCTGTATGGCCGGGCTCCTGGGGCCCCTCTCTCCCGGTGGGGAGGACACAGCAGGAAGGGTGGTTAGCCGTGGACGTGGTGCGGGCCCCTCCCGCCTGCCCCCCTGAACCCACTGTGTGTTGCTTTGGAAGATGAGCTGATCCGGGAGGTCACCATCAACTGTGCCGAGAGGGGACTGCTGTTGCTGCGAGTCCGGGACGAGATCCGCATGACCATTGCCGCCTACCAGACCTTGTATGAGAGCAGCGTGGCATTTGGCATGAGGAAGGCGCTGCAAGCCGAGCAGGGGAAGTCAGACATGGAGAGGAAAGTGAGTGGGCTTGACCATGAGGCCGCGGCTCTCCGCGAACCCTCCCGGCCATCCCAGCGCCACCTGGTTGTCCTTCCAGGCGAGAGGCTGGCCTCCGAGGGTGGGCTGGCCATCCGGGACGTGGGGACCCCTGGGTTCCGAGCGGCCACTGGCCATCGTGCCATACCAGTCGCCGACCTCCCACTGGGTGGCAGCACAGACCCTGGCAAGGGCTTAGGTTGGACAGCTGTGCCCCAGGTCCCCTCCAGCCAGGCACTCCCACCACCCTGTCAGCTGGGCGACATCCCGGGGGTCACCAGGGTTTCTGTCCTCAGATTGCAGAACTGGAAACAGAAAAGAGAGATCTGGAGAGGCAAGTGAACGAGCAGAAGGCCAAGTGTGAGGCCACCGAGAAGCGGGAGATCGAGAGGAGACAGGTGGAGGAGAAGAAGCACAATGAGGAGATTCAGTTCCTTAAGCGGACGAATCAGCAGCTGAAGGTGGGCGCCCCCAGGTCCCCGTCCAGCCCCCCCAGCCACACGGGCCAGGCGGCGGCTCCGTCTCCTGCAGAGGAGTCAGGACGCTTGTCCACACGCGCTGCCCAGGAGTGAAGGACGCTGATGTGTGTGTGGGGGGCGGGGGGGTGAGGGCCCACCACGCAGATGCTCCATCCGCGGGGCTCTGGAGGGGGCTCCCCATCCCCACAGCACCTCAGCCGCGCTCTCCAGTGGATGGGCTTTTCCCCCTGGAAAGAAAAGTAGCCCATCGTCCAGGAGAGGTGGATGTGGCGGCAGGTGGAGCTGGTCTCCCGTGACCGCTGGTGTCTGGGAGCCTTCCCAGAGCGGCCTGGGTCTCTTCACGGACTCGGGAGCGCCTTCCCACCTGCAGCCCCTCGGAGGCACGGCATTTGGGGCGGGCAGGGAAGGCCCTTTGGGAGGGAAGCAGCATCCCAACTTAGGAGCCTTCCCCAGGTGTGTGGTCAGAGGAACTCACCTGTAGCCGTTTTCCCTCCAAGTCCCTTCGCCAGCGGCTCACCTTCATCCAGCCGAGCTGAAGGGGGGCCAGGCCTCTGAGGCTCCAGGCTCTCTGAGGGGGCCCCAGACGGGCATCATCACCCGGGAACTTGTACAAATCCCAATTATTGGGCCCATCCCGGGTCTGCTGAGTCAACTGCTGGGGTTGGAGCCCAACCACCTGACGGGCGATTCTGGTGCTTGGTGAGGCTTGAGAGCCCTCGTTCTAGATGGAGGACCCGCTGATGGTTAGCGGCGGTCTCCCACGGCCCTGGCCAGAGGGGCCCCTGGGTGTCAGCCCCCTCTCCTCCCTAACCTCCCAGAAGGCTTACGTTCTTGGGACTGGCCGGCCTCCCAGGGCTGCAGCAAGGAGACACGCACTTGAGATAAAGAAGGGCCGTGTTGAGCGCGAGTGCAGGATGACAGATTTGCTTGTTGCCGAGTTCAACAAAGGGAAGCCAGGAACTTCGCAGCCAGACACGATTGTGTTTACTCAGCAGCTTGTGGGGTGGCGGCGTGCCTTATCTGCCGCTTTCCTTTATCGTTAGCCCGAGTTCCTCCGGTCCTCCTCCAAGACCGGCGGCGCGGGCAAAACAGGATGCCTTGGCATCTTCCTATAACATTTACAGGCAACCCTGTCATCCCCGGGGTGAAGGACTCTTTAGAAGGGAGTTATTTTTATTGGCTCCAAGCTGCCCTGCAAATAAAAGCCGTGTTTGCGGTCCCCAGGATGGACCTACTTAAAGATCTGTCCACACACCAGGATAGTAAATTATTTTACCAGCTGCCGGAGGAGCGGAGTAAAGAACTCCCGAGTGTCTTAGGCTTTACATACAAGATGGACAGCTCCCTACTTACTGGTAGCAATTTTCTCTAATTGGGTGTCAAGTTGTCTCGGTGGCTGAAAAATTGCTGTTTCCCAAACCTCTCGTCCCAGCAGAGCTCCCGGGATCCCGAACCAGAGAGCCAAATGTTTAACTTAGCATCTCAGGCCTGAAATCTGAGCCATGAGAAACCACTATTTCAACAACTTTTATTCAATTTCCTTTCCACTGCTTTGTATTATACGTGGGGCCCTTATTGTATGGAAACCAGGACAGCTCTGGTTTCTCCTAATGTAGCGGGACCGTATGCCAAAGGCAGAAACCAGCTCATCTAGGAAATGTGGAGCTGGGGAATGAAGGGAGAAACGCTTGGAGGGGCAGCATGGGATTCTTCCTCCCAGGGACTTTATCACCTCTCAGCTGAAGGCTGCAAGCTTCGGATACTAACGGAGTTTGTTTTTGTTTTGCAGGCCCAACTGGAAGGCATTATTGCACCAAAGAAGTGATCGTTTCCACATGGGTCTCAGCAAGCACTGCTACCCCATCCTAAGCCCGTTGTAATAAAAAAAATAGCTAGTTTCCTGAGTGAACCAGCCCTGCCCTCCCCCGATCACCACCTCCACGTTCGTCAGAAGTCACCCGGTGCCCCAGTGGATGAGCAGCGGCCGGCAGCCAGGCCCCCGGCTGGGCAGCGGAAGGCGGTGGACGGCCAGCCCTGGGACCTGCCAACTCAGACAGGGAGGCTTTCCGCTCCCCACTCGCAGGTGAAGCAGCTGCCTTCCCCCCACGGCTCCATACCACTGTACCGTCCGTTTCTAGCCAGATGAGCCTCATCCCCGCCCTGTTTCTGGCTCACCATATGCCCGTACCTGACGTTGGGCTGCTGGGGCCTCAGTGCGTCACTTGAGGTCTTTCCCCTCCCTCGCCCAGTGCAGTTCCAGTGACTCCTGTGAGTTGCGTGTTTATCCGAGGTCGTGTCCCCCGCTGCCCGCCAAGCCCACCGCACCCTCTCCCCGGGTCTCAGGCCGCCCAGTAGAAGCCACAGCTTCTGAGAAAGTAAATGTTTGCCAGGAACAAAGACAAGTCCCGAGGTCCCCTGTGAGCTGCCCGATGCTCAGGAGCCCCGTGTGGTTTGCTCATCCTCCCCTGCAGAAAGCCGCAGCCTGGCTCTACACCCCTCTAACCAGGGGTGTCTAATGAGCCACCTCACGTGCAGCTCTCCCTACTGGAGGGGGCTACGGCCCGTAGACTGCACCGACTATTCTTAAGTTAAACTCCAGGTTCCGAGGCCCCGAAGAGTAAGCTAGCAGGCTGTCCAGGGTGGGCCAGCGCGGTGATATGAGTGACTTCCGTCGTGGGGTCCGAATGAAGGAGCGCCCTTGAAGGCACAGACGTGTCCGCGCAATGCCTCGGGCTGCTCAGGACCCTCTGTAGTGGGGCTCAGAGCTGGCATCGCCGCTGTTCAGGCTCCGAGACTCCCCGGAACAAGTGTGGTCCCACAGGAAGAGCCATGTTCCAGGTCTCACCTGCCCCGTGCACGTCTAGCCTCAGATGTGACAGCCGCCTCTGCCCCTGTCCAGGTGTCCCAAGGGATTGCAGAACTCCACTAAGCTAACCTGTTGGGGCTGTCCTCGTGGGAAAGCACTCTGTTCACCGCATGCGCTAGTTCCGGGACTCCCCAACAGGAAGGCGCGCGTCCTAACCGCACCCATCTACTGGCTGTCCCGTCTGTTTTAAAGCCCAGGCCATGTGCACTATGCGCTTGGACTTTCCGGTTTTCACACTTCTGTTTCAAACTGCTAACTGCCAGTATAAAACCATTGCCCCTTCGGCTCCGTAGACCGCATCTCTGTTTGGGCCAGAGCTTTACACGGCCTGGTTACGCTCGGGAACGAAGGGGGCCCATTTAAGGGGCAGGAGTGCCAGTGGACCCCGTCATCACTGAACGCCTTGGGGGGCAGAGGGAGCATTTTCACTAGCACCGGTGAAGGGTTTCAACTGTTAAACCTCAGAACAAATGCATCATGGCCTTAGAAATGCCAACTGGGCATGAAGAAAACGAACACAGTTTCTAACTGCATATTTTTGTATAATTTAATAAACTTTTAAAATGTTACTGCTTGTGTTTGAATTTTTTGTGTTTGTGTTTCTGTCCGTCTGAGTCATTGGTCTTCTTTTTGTTCCTGTTCCTATTTTTCACATTGTGTGTTTCATAGTAGCGTACACCAACTTTCTTGGACTGTTGCTGCCGGGCCGCTCGCCTCCGCTGTGAAAAAATGACAAAAAACAAAACCAAAAAAACCCAAGAGACCAAAACAATCAATCAATCGTGGAGAAGTCACAGAGCAAGCCCTTCTGTTTCTCATGCTCCACCCCCATGCTGCTCCCCCAATTACTGGAGGCAGTCCTAGGAACAAAGGGCTCCCCACAGACCCCAGGGTGCCCCTCCACCCTGACTCATGACAGCTGCAAGTCATAGCCTGTCCTTGGGTCCAAGCGTCACACACGCTGGAGTCCTTCCTACTGCACTCCCATCTAGGGGTGAACACTTCCAATAACAAGCTCCTCCCTTCGCAAGAGGGCCCACCCCAGCTCTGAGGAGCCCAGTACAGGCCTGAGTTTCACAGAGGGTGGGGATCCGTCTGCCTCAACAGCTCGGCTCACCACGTGAAAACCAGCAGACCCTTGTAGAGGGCAATCCACATGCTTGAGGACGGCGATCAGGGACTCAAGGACCTTTGTCCAGTGGGCCAGCTCTTGATCCTACTGAACTGATCTCAACTAGGTCACTTGGGACTGAGTTCTGAGAATTCAGCTCCAGACCATCAGTGTGGGAAAGCATGTCTATTAGGAAATGGATTTCTCTTCTCTACTTTCTATATCCGGGTGATATTTAAGACCAAAACCACGTACTTCCTTAGATGTAAGCGTCCTGCGAGTTTTATTTGAATGGTCCTCTTCCCTCTGTGCCTTCCTCTTCTTTCCCCTTTTGGTAGGTGCTGGAAACACAACACACGAGCACACAGAAAAGAGAGGAATTGTCTGCTCAAAACGTGTCCGTGAATGCTAAGGTGGGGATGAGCTTGATGTGTTGGAGGAAGAAGGCCAACGCAGAGTAAAGCAGGATAAGGCCAGGAGGGCCCTTACAGGCCACGCCAGGGTTTGCATTTATGTCACAGAAACACACTTTTCACATGGAAGCTGTGAGTCCATGGAGTAAGGAATAAATACCTGACCCGTCCTACTTCCCACAAAAAAGTCTAGCTGACTCACCTCTAGATTATAAGGCTCCCAACGTACTCTTTTTACAGGAGGTTTCCTGAATTAACCCCAAGAAATGTGCAGGATGAAAAGCTAATAATCCAACCAGTACGACAAACAGCATGTGAACGGGGTATCTGCCGACTACGCTAAGGACCTGGGGCGATGACCCCACAATCTCTCGGTTTAGAGATCAGAGTTCCCACAGTTCTAAAGATGCAAACCGCACCTAAGCGGTTTGACTAATTCAACTCTTACCTGTGTCTTCTACAACTTCTTCAGCTACTCTCTGCTCTTCAGATTTTGCAAAAATCTTTTCACTTAGTCCCTTGGATATTCTGCAACAGAAAAGCAAAGTAACAAAACCGCCTGTCACTGCCCTCAGCCCAGGGGCTGGGCCCACGCTGCTGCACAGAGTTGCCCCCCCCAGCCCAAGGGAAGGCAGTGACGCCTCCTGCTTCAGGGAGCTGCATCTTAGAAATTCACAGGTCACTTTAAAAAAAAAAAAAAAAAATGCGGGATCCCTGGGTGGCGCAGCGGTTTGGCGCCTGCCTTTGGCCCAGGGCGCGATCCTGGAGACCCGGGATCGAATCCCACATCGGGCTCCCGGTGCATGGAGCCTGCTTCTCCCTCTGCCTATGTCTCTGCCTCTCTCTCTTTCTCTCTCTGTGACTATCATAAATAAATAAAAATTAAAAAAAAAAAATGCAACAACTCCCTTCCAGCTCCCTAAAGTACTGCCCCAGTCCTCACAACACGTTTCTCCACAAGGAACGAGCAGATCACAAGTACCTGACTGCTGAAAATTTCTTAGCTTTGGCTTTGTTTAGAAACTTCTGATATTTAGCAATCTTCTCATCCAGGGCTTTAATAACTGCCTTGGTGTCATTTCCCGCGTGCTCCTCCTGGGACTCCTGGCAAGACTCCCCCTCGTTGTCTCCTGGTTGGTCCTCCTCCTCCTCCTGCTGCTCCTCCTCCTCTTCGGAAAAGCTCTCAAACTCTTCGTCAACATCTGACATCTCCAAAGGGACCAGGTCATCCCCGGAAAACTGAGGCACGACATTGATTTTGCCAAAGTTCTGTCGAACCCGCGCCAGAATCTGCTGCATTTCTGAGTCTGTGTCACCAGGACTGTTCTCTTTTTCCTTCTCGGTGACAGGCGCTGATGCTTCAACTATAGGTCCTGTGGCTTCCTCTTCTGGGTTCTTCTGGCTCGTGTCTGTCGCAACTTCCAACGACACGGAGGATGGGAGCTATCCAGGCCAAAAAGGGGTGCAGATGGGGGAGACAAGACAGGATCAGACAAGAAAAACCATTTCTGAACTGACACCTTGCTCTCAAAAGAGGCAGTCCTCTCCTCGGGACTAAGGGAGAGAACAGAAAACCCCACACCAGAGTCACATCATTGTCTCACCCGCAGGCCAACACGCATGACCCCCAGAAGCTGGTACTCGGGGACCAGAGGCTCCTGGCTGCGGTGCCAGAGGACGAGCCAACTGGAGCCGCTCAAACCGTCGCCATTCACCACAGGGCGGCCGACTCCCTCTCCCTCCCTAAGGAGGGGAAGGAATGGGGCTCCTGAGACAGGCACACCCCAGAGGAGAGCACACAACTGCCCAGAGCTAAAGCACAGCGCTAAACAGGGGACAGAAGCCAGGGGGAGGCCCCTGGAGGAAAGCTCTGGAGGTGAGGCCACAAGGGAGCCGAGGTAGGGGACCTCGAAACACCCCGCCTCTCTGGGATAAGGGTGAAGACATGTGAGGCAGGCGTCATCCTGGCGCTTCACATCTGTAGTCTTTCATCCCTGCAACTGGGACTCACAGAACTTTAGGGATTTTCCAAAGGCAAGAGCGGCTACACGACGTGCTCAGTAAATGAGGAATCCAGAAAACTCAGGAAATGGCCTATAAAATTTATGTTTTTATACCTTTTCCCTAAGCTAAGGTTTTTAGCTTTTGGATTCTGAAAGCGTTTCAGCCACTACTAGACAAAGAAGGAAATCAGACCGGGGGAACCAATGATCTAAAACTCAATGACCAGGGCAGCCCGGGTGGCTCAGCGGTTTAGCGCTGCCTTCAGCCCAGGATGTTATGCTGGAGTCCAGGGATCAAGTCCCATGTCGGGCTCCCTGCATGGAGCCTGCTTCTCCCTCTGCCTGGGTCTCTGCCTCTCTCTGTTTCTCATGAATAAATAAGTAAAATCTTTAAAAAATAATAGAATAAAAAAATAAAACTCAATGGCCAGACACAGAGCAAGAGCTCAAGAAAACCCTACTGTGTGCACCCAGGGTCACAACAGACTCCTGCCTCACACCCAGCAGCCTCCCGCCCCGCCCCAGCCCCATAGGTACCCTCCTGCCTCAGGCGCTCCGGGTGGCTATGGCCTCCTCTGCGGTCACCAGAAGGCCCAAGCACCTGACGAGAGGGCTACAGGTGGAGCGTGAGCACGGGTGGCCAACGCTTTAATCAAGCAGGCCTGTGTGTGATGGAACCTCCATGAGAAGCCCTGGAGGACAGAGTTGGAGAGCCTCTGGGTTGAATGAACTGGGGCTGGGAGGGCATCATGCCCAGAAAGAGCACATGCCCGGCCCTATGCATCCCTTCCGGTTGGCTATTCCTGAGTTATTGCCACCATAATAAAGAAGCCTTCATAAGCCACTCTGCTGAGTTCCAGGAGTTGTTTTAGCACATTATCAAACCCAAGAACCTCTGAACTTGTAGCTGGCTGGGCTGAAGCACAGGGAGCTCGGGAACCCCATCTGCAGCTGGCCTCCGAAGCGGGGGCATCTTGTGGGACCGTGCTAACCCTCAGGGATAGCATCAGAATTGAACTGCACCACTGGACCCCCAGCTGGTGCCAGAGAATTGCAGAACTGCTTATGGAGAAACGAAATCCATTTGGTATCAGGGGAAAAACTAGGCACTGCTCTGCGGGCATCCATATGTACAGAAGTGCGAGAGGCAGAACTCTTCTGCTTTCACCGCAGTACCTCTGGTGCCCAGCACTTAGGAGATCCTCAGTCTACTTGTGCTCAATGAATGAACGACCTAACACACAAAGAACGTGCGAGAGGGGATCCCTGGGTGGTGCAGCAGTTTGGCGCCTGCCTTTGGCCCAGGGCGCGATCCTGGAGACCCGGGATCGAGTCCCACGTCGGGCTCCCGGTGCATGGAGCCTGCTTCTCCCTCTGCCTGTGTCTCTGCCTCTCTCTCTCCCTCTGTGACTATCATAAATAAATAAAAATTAAAAAAAAAAAATTTAAAAAAAAACGTGCAAGAGGATTGGGGGTGTTTTGTTGGCTGTTTGGGGGCTCTAGAGGGAGAGGGAGAAAGCTAACGTCAGTTTCAGGTATGCTGATTCTGAAATGCTGGAAAAAATATTCAACTGGAAGCTTCTAGCTGATAACTGAAGCCCTGGGAACAGAGTTCAGGTAAGAAGGAACCAGAATGACCTGAACCCAAAGGATTAGCATGGAAGCAGAACTTAAAGCCATCTCTTCCAAAGGCTTGGCAGAGCTCTGAAGAGCCTACAAATAGAAAAGCAAAGGGCCACAGCTGGAGCTTGGTGGCAGTCCAGCCAGCGGGAGGGAAATTTGACAGAAGGGAAGCTCCTCAATCCAGCCCAGACGCCCCAATCTAAGGTTTCTTTCCCTGACTATACACCTGACCTCTCTCTTTTCCACCTGATTACAAACTTCTTAAGGGCGAGGGCTATGTTATTGATTCCTAGGCCTATGCCTGGCATATGGTTGGGCCTGACGAACGTTAAGTCAATCCTGGAAATGCCTCTGTTCCTCATGCATAAGGAAAGACACAGGATTGAAAGAGCACTGACAGTTAAAGCCCTCTTTGTTCA